CTCTTTGCGTTTGGAACCGTATTGTGGTGCCTGACGGTTCCTGACTTTAATGTGCTTTGGCATTGGGTTCCTGACCCTGGGACTCTGGGCTCGAATCGGTACAAACGTACTAGAATCTATTGCTAGAAGTACTTGATTTTTCTATAGAAAGGTGGCGATACGATATATGCCGTGTTTTGGTTCATAAATATTTGTGTTGCCCATTATTTACTATTGATAGGTGGGAACGCGGCGATTCAGGTTGATTCATCGAGGATGAATCTGACATCTTAGTTTCGATTTTCAGTAACCATTATCGCTATTTCAATTCGATATTTGCATATCTGACCATTATTTCCAGACACTTGACTTTTGAAAAGTTTACTTTATTAACGTTTGCCGGTTCTTGACGCGGGTGAGCGATAAGGAATGTTTAAACTTATCGCCATTTTGGTAAAAGTTTATCATTCCTGATTTTCTATAGAATATGAGATAAACTTTCAGTGATTCATCAGCAACAGCCAAAACTATGATTAATAAATCTGATGTTTTACTTAAATAAAAGTCGAATCGAAAATGATCGAATCGATGGTCAATATCGAAATCGAATCGAATCAGGTCTGGGTGAATCGTTGCAATATATATGGCTAAAATCTTTTCATTTTTGTACTGTTTTTGTTCTCGTTGACCTGGTGAGAATGTTTTAAAAGTATGTTATATTATTATAAAGATATAGGTATATCTCTAATCATCGTGAATTTGGATTTGTTGACTTTGACCTGCTTGTGTTTGGCGGCTCGTTCTTTACGGTGCGGCTATTGAATCGAACATATCATTGATTGTATTGGTATTATCATGTTGAAGTGCAAATGATTACGTAGTCCATGTTTGGTAACAACGTAGTTGACCATATTCGATACCAGCGGTGATGGAGAACACAGTTTAATGTTCCACCTCGGCGCACTAGAACTCTTGTGTTGAATGACTTCTTGGTGATATAGTCAAAACTACAACCACCTCACTTTGTACCGTGGCAGAATCATCCTGCGCTTGAAAAGCCAGATGGTATTTTTGTTGCTGGGGCATGCGTTAGAATCAGCGAACGATTACAATGTAACGTATTTACGCCAAAAGATTTAAAGATTGACATTTTGCGAGGTTAGCTACTAATAAAGATCCTCTAGATTACTATACTCGCTGACAAGATCCGTCTAATATTTTACACTGATTCAAGGGGAGACAGACACGCGTATACATGATTGTTGTGACGTCACGGTTTGTAATCATCGCGTCACAAATAAATTCTCCTGGAACTCAGCGAAGATTCGTATCAAACAGGCCGAAGTAATATACCCGCCAGACGAAGCTGTACACAAAAGAGTTGAAATACGCATGAACGCATTCATTCGCCAATGACCAAATTTGGTGGTGAAGTATATGGTAAATTGTCTTTGTAATGGAATGATGGGTATGCGATTTTGCGTGCCACTGTATCCAGTAATCATGGCGAAGGACGCCAGGAATGAGCTACCACCCATTGGCAAGTGGGGGGAATCAGACGCTGGAACTTTCGGCGTGACGAACGAACGTTTCAGTCACCTGGCGAAGCGTACGCAATAATAAATTAAACATTCGTTAAACCCTATAAATACCAAACCAGCTGCCGCGCATTGTTTGATCTTTCCGTTATTTACCGTATTCGCAGGATCATGTTCGCCAGCAAGAGGCAACTCCAACTCAGAAATGACAGAGATGGAACACCTCGATACAGGTGCGACACGCGGTAGGGGAAGCGGGTATAACTCGACCAGACATATTACCTGCGCCGCGGGGTGATTCGTTTGGCATCCGTACAATGGCAGATGTTGTCATGGTAGGTTGACCGGTTCATGGCGACTTTGTCACGGGCTAACTAACTTTAATGCTCGTAACATCATATGTATTATTCGGATATTTATATGGCGCACGCATATCCAGACAACTAGTGCATGCTCAAGGAACGGTATTATTCCCCTCGCTTTCGTTGCCGTTATTAAATCTCAGCGGCGCATCGTATCATCGATCACCAACCTGGGGTATGCAACTCTTGGAAAATACTCAGGCTTTGAGTTAGTAATGGTTTCCTCATATTAAGGGTACCATTTAAAACTGGAACGGACTTGGACGCATGAAATTCGCAGTAGCTGCATCCGAGGGTTATACGCGTTGCTGTACCACCAACTTCAGATTGTTTGCTGCATATTCGTAATGTGGCCACCATCTGGTGTATACCAAACGGTTGCGTGGGTTCGTTTAAGTGCACAGGGTTATTATGCACCACACTAGGGGTTTATTGACAAAGCACAAAATTCACATAAAGGTTGATCAAAGGTTTTACACCGATTACAGGTGAACTCGATCCCGGCACCTCAACCTCGAAGGATCCTTACCGTAACGTCAATCAACCACTTACCAGGTCATTGAACCAGGTACGTTTTCAACCGGTTCCGGTTTCGGAACGACGGTGAAGAAAAAAAAGTGGTTTAAGGTGCTTCTACCAACATATCATCGTATTCCAGGTATTATGGATATGGACACCTGGAAACTAAACTCATTACATTTTCGGGGGCGTATTAAAATCGCGGTGTTCATTCATTCGCTACAAGCGGCAGGCTTGGCATCAGTTATGCATGGGTGAATTCTGGCGAAATTGGCTACGTTTGATTCGACGACGCATTACGAGAACACTTACCTGGAGCTTCAGATTACTCGAAAACAAATGGGCTCGGCGGGAACCGGCAGGTGACGTTTCACCCATTTCTCGGCGATTATTAGATCACCCGGCTTTGTATACGAATTGAGTGAGTGAGTTTGGTTTCGCGCGCACAACGATGTTTAAGCAGCAACATCACGGCAGGGGACACAGAAATGGGCTTCGCGTGAACATGTAGGGTTGAACCCGGGTCTTCAACGTGATGAAACCAACGCGCCATTTGGGCTACCCGCGCCTCGCAATGTACCGATCTTCAATATTGTCGACTGGCGGCAATATTCGGGTCCATCGAATGAACGATTCCGGCTGATTTATTACCGCAAAAATACAAAAACAATCAAAGTTCAATTAATTTAACACGTCATCCATCAGGTGCTTTTACGCCATATGCTATTGCTGACATTTGGAATAAAGTTTGGGAAAAGCGTTTCGTTTATAAGACCCTCTGCTGATACAACCGCCGGCACGGAACAAACTCAGTTTATGCACATTTCTCTTCCGTATACTTCACAGATCCAGTTGAACTTCCAATTGCAAACAGGACTGGATTTACAGAGCAGGAACAGCGGTGTGAAGGAGATTTTACGGCCGCTGCTGTTGAATTACTGAGCTGCATTTACAAAAATTCGTACTTTCAGTAGGAAGATATCCAGCTGTCGTGAACGATAGAACTTACCGTGGATCCAGGGCCACAATCGCACCTCCATTTCTATCAACGTGCATTTGTACCGAGAAAACCAAAAATTGGAAGTGGCGGATCAGAATTTGATCTGATGGCGACCACATTGGCTGGAGGTTGCGCGAAGAGATTATCTACCAGTGGTATTACAATGGTATTTCTCTCGGTCGGGACTACCAGGGCGGTGGGTAGCCAATTCCATTTAAAAGCGTTCACGGCAAAGTCACCGAGCAGGCCGGTTTAGATTCCCCATTGGGCACAATGTGAAATTTGGCTGCGGTATACCCATGGCATTCGCGCCGGGAATCTTCGCTTTTGAAAACGGCGAAAATGGCTTTAAATCACTCACTCAAGTACACTAGACTGCTACCGTATTTAAGACGAATGGGTGGGAATTGTTGATTCAAAACGTTGCTCATGCGGTTCTCTATTCCCCATACTGGGTGAATTGGCGAGCATAACCACCATCACCCCCTTCGCTTACGATAAAAGCGACGTTAAACTAGACTCACTCACTACAAGGCCAATTCCTTTAAAAGTGTCCCTTGTGTACTTATCGCGGAATGATTTTCCGGGAATAACAAACTTTGATATACTACCGAAGCAGCATTTTAGCGACAGGAAGAGACGAGCGTAACGTAACCGCTGGTTTCAGGTGTAGGTTTTGTATTTGGGTAAAGCCATTACAGTAATATTGTTTTGGGTATTCGGTAAAATATACTTATAGTACTTAGGCATTTAAAGATATATACTGGTACCCATATGACGTCTTTGTTAATAATCCCCAAAAGAGACATCAGCCAAATACAGTGATGAACCCTGAGTGAACATGAAGTTTTTATGCCACCAATTACGAAACATAGCAAAAGAAACAATAAGTGGTTGAAGAGCGCTATCAAAACTTCGCACGATGCTCAATGGCGACCTTCAGTAAACCAGGTCGAAACGGTAATCAAACTTAAATTCCTGCTTAACAAAATGAGGCTCCTAATGCCCTAGTTGCACAAAATTTCGTGAATGGAATTAACTCGTACTATTGATCACTGGATTGTCAGGTCCAGACTGGATTGCAGAGCCACCTTGATATAGCTGGAATATTGGTGAGTCCCTTCCATTCCATTCCTCCTTCTTCCACTATGGCTCCATTCTATTTCTCTTCCTATCCATCCATCTATTTCTCTTCTTCCATCCATATTCTGGTCTCCTTCCATTCCTTCCTTCCTTCCATTCCATTCACTTCTGTTCTCGTGTCATTCTATTCCTTCCTCCTTTATTTCCTCCATGCCTCCACTGTTCCATTCTATTTCTTTCCGTCCATTCCATTTCATACTTGTCCATTCCATTTCCTTTCCTTCCTTATTTCCACCTTTCCTTCCATGTTCCACTATCCATTCCTTCTCTTCAAGGCTCCATCCATTCTTTCTTCCTTCATTTCCTCCATGTCCATTCTTCCATGGAATCCTCCATATTTTCCTTTCTCCTTTCCTCCATTCCATATTTCCTCCATGTCCATGTCCTTCCTTCCATCCATTCCTGTCTTCCATGTCCATGCCTCCATATTCCTGTCCATTTCTTCCTTCCATATTTCCATATTTCTTTATTCAGTGTGGCCATTCCTTCTACCATATTTCCTTCTCCTGTCCATAAGTCTCTTCTTTGTGTGTCACTGTTCCATCCACTGTGTCTGTCCTTTCTATCTCTTCCACTGTCTATTCTTTCTGTCCTCCATGTCCTCAAGTCATTCCATTCCTGTTGGCTCCGTCCGTGTCTTCCTTTCCGTTGTGTCTGTGCTCACAGTTCTCCATGCTCACCTCCACTTGTGCCTCCTGGGTTCTCCAGCCATCTCTTCCTGGTCTTGGCTTTCTTCCTCACCTCCTTGGTCCTTGTGTCCTGGGGCCAGCTCTTGTCTGTGTGGCCACAAGTGTTGTGTGTGTGTGTCTTCTCCATCTCCTGTGTGTCTGGGGTGCTGATCTGTTGGGGTTGTGGCTGTCTTCCACTGTCTCCACCACATTTCTTCTGTCCATCTCCACCACATTTTCTCCATCTCCACATGTCCACTTTTGTCTCCACTGCTCCTCCGTCTCTGACAGTCTCACGTTCCTTCTCCGTCTCTGTTTCGGCCCTGCATCTCACCTTGGGTTGCTCCTCCGTCCTCCTGGCTTCCATCTCCACCTTCTTCCACTGGGTTGTCTCCGTCTCTGTGGTCCACTGCACGTCTCCTGTCTCTGATCCTGTGTCCTTGTCCTCCGTCTCTGTGGTCCATCCTCTCCGTCTGTCTCTCCGTCTCTGTGTCTCAGTCCATGCATCCATGCCTGTCTCGTCTCTGATCCACGTCTCCTCCGTCTCCACGTCTCCTTCCATTCCACATCCACCTTTCCTGTCCTTGCTCTCCATCTCTCACAACAACCTGCCTGCACATCTCACTGCACATCTGCCTCTCACGGCTGCTCTCCATCACAACAACCCCTGCACATCTCACCACAGCTGTTTCTCCATCTCACAACAACCCCTGCACATCTCACCACAGGGCTGCTTCCCCATCTCACAACAACCCCTGCATGCACATCTCACCACAACAACCCCTTGCTGCTCTCCATCCTCACAACAACCCCTGCACATCTCACCACGGCTGCTCTCCATCCACAACAACTCCTTTCTGCCATCTGCACAAACAACCCTGCACATCTCACCACAGCTGCTCTCCATCCTCACAACAACCCTGCACATCTCACCACGGCTGCTCTCCATCTCACAACAACCCCCTGCACATCTCACCACGGCTGCTCTCCATCTCCACAACAACCCCTGCACATCTCACCACGGCTGCTCTCCATCTCACAACAACCCCTGCACATCTCACCACGGGCTGCCCTCCATCTCACAACAATGCCTGCACATCTCACTCACGGCTTCTCTCCATCCTCACAACAACCCCTGCACATCCTCACCACGGCTGCTCTCCATCTCACAACAATCCCTGCACATCTCGGCCACAGCTGCTCTCCATCTCACAACAACCCCTGCACATCTCACCACAGGTGCTCTCCATCTCACAACAACCCCTGCACATCTCACCACAGCTGCTCTCCTCTCACAACAACCCCTGCACATCTCACCACAGCTGCTCTCCATTTCCCACAACAACCCTGCACATCTCACCACAGCCCTTCATCCTTGATGTGCTTGATCTGGTCCTTGTACAGAATGCTGAGGATCTCTGCTCGCAGACCTTGTCTCCTTCAGCAATAGGCTCCACCAGCACAAAGTCTCCTGGATAATATTTATTGCATGACAGATAACTAGAATAATCATTCTCTTGTTATGTTCTACTGTAGTGGAATGAAATCATCAAATACTAATCAGTACTTACTGTTAGAAGAACATCTTTAGTTTTTAAAAATTGAATATCAATAATGAGCAAGTTTAAGCAATATTCCACCATTATCATGGCAGACACCACAAATAGACTTTAACACATTGTACCCAACATTGATGGAATCGGAACATCTGTCATCGGCATGACAAGCAACGATTTTCACAACTATGCCACATAAAGAGAAAAAACTCAAAACTTTTTCTCTGAATATGTAGGCAAATACTTTGTCTTTTTTTCTTCACAAGGATATAAATAACAAAATACAAAGTCATTAACTTATGATTATGATATAACTACAAAAACACCACAGATATGAGCATGAAATATTTCAATGGCAACAGGCCTTACAAGAACTCTGTCTTTTACCAAAGTCCAATCTGTTATAAGCTCACATAAAAGCATAAGGAATTACTGACAGATTCCTAGTCAGGAACTGAAACAAACTGATGAATGCAGGATCTGCTGATTATTTCTATGTTTGGAAACTGCTGATTATTTCTATGTTTGGAAACAGGAAATGGCCAGTCTGCAAACACCATTCTCCAACTGCTACATAACCCTGTTGATATTAACTGAACTCACCTCTCTTTATCCACACATTCTTTCTGAACCTGGTGGGCATACTGACAAGGTATCTGGTGCTTCCTGCTGTCTCTACTTCATGAAGGTTGTTGCCTCGACTGGCTGTAACCTGTGCATAGAAGAAGTAAACAACTTGTGATGACCATGGCTTCACCTCACACCCAATGCAGATACTAGCCTGTACACGGTCAGCAATGATGTACTCCATAAGCCAGGTTTAAATGCTTTATTACTCAGCTGCACTTTGGGATGTAAAATGTTTGCAACTGAATTTATGATATGATGATATGCATGAGAGATACATAAATAATGACCATCATATTGCAGTGTTGATAATGTCTAAGATGTGTAAAACAGGCTCAAAAGGTCTGTTTGGATTACTTAATGACAGTTAAGTATTGTCAGGATTATCAGGGGGCAAAAACAACCGACAGCCACTGTAACTCTTGACTGTCATGATTGATTTCAGAAAGAAGGTAGACTATAAACTAAAAACTAGAAACTACTAGGTGCTAAAATGGGTATTTTTGTTGCCCCACATTTCCACCGTGTGTGTTTGTCAGTTGTGGATAAATACTTATGAAATTTATAATTCTTTTCATTCTTGTTGGCACAGTTACTTGGCAATAACAGTAAATTTAGTAATTGGTATCCACAAACTGTGTCTACATAGTCAAGAATTATCTGGATTTTTAATCACTGATAACAATAATAACACTAGACTGTAGTGACTCATTTCAGAACGAATGTAGATTGAAACTAGTAAGTTGCAAGAACTGGATGCTAATCACCGTAGGTAAGTATATGACTTATATGAATAATATTAATAATATTGTAAATGGTGGAAAAGTATTGTTCGCTTCGAGTGTGAATTAGCTGTTAGTATGTCAATATGGAACTACTATGTTGGGACCGGCCCTGGCTACTTCTGTGGGGCCCCTTCTGTGTATGCAGAATGGTAGAAAATAGTAAGATAAGGTTTTAACATAGTCACTGGTACAAGTATGGAGAACTGAGGCCTGCTGCACTCCTGAACATGTGTTCCCCGATTTATGGCCCCACCACATCAACGGAATGATTGACAATGTCTGTAGTGAACTTGTGTGATGATGTGTGGAGTGATGATGTCTGTAGTGAACCTTAAAGATGTGTGAATGTTGAACATTTGAACAATTTATGAATATTTGATCACATATCAACACCTGGATGTATGATAACCACACTACATATTATCACTATTATTACTACATATTGATACAAATATAATAAAACATATAAAATATATTTTAGTTTGTATGTTCCTATTTAAATTTGATCTATGGTCCTTTTGACTGATACATATATGGCCCTTTTGACTTTTCTTTGGCCCTTTGACTACAACCCTTGGGGCCGACATATTTGTTATTGTGGATGTATTTTGTGTACATCTACGAATGGAAGTGGATAAACAGCACATCGCAGCCTTCTGTGGCTGACCGAGATTAAGCAACAGCTAAACTGAAACTGGTTTTGAGAACATTAGATACAGTCATCTATATACTGCCAGGCTAGGATATATTTGTGTCGAGCATATTAACCATAGTACTTGATCCAACAACGACCCCTGACACAACAGTCCTACTGCAGGTTTCCGAAACCTACCGATCGGCCTATAATAATACGGGATATTAAAAGCCATTCTGCCTATTTTGCTATAGGCTGAAAATTAATGACATAGATATTCAGTTTTAGTTTTTCAAAAAGGAAAATCTATGCAAAATTGTGTTCTTAATGAAACATCTTTTCCTGAACATGATATATATTTTCCATTTTGTCAAAAAAAATGTTTTCAAGCCGAGGAGGTCCATTAACTATTCATCTCTATGATCATATAAAACCATTTCGTGCGGAAATTAATAGTTTGAGAAATACTTGGAAAAATGTTCAAATATATTGGCCTATTACAGGCCGATCGGGTTTCCCCAGCCTGTACTGTACTAGCAATAATAGCCAATAATATTGCCTATGTGCGCCCTGAATTTGTCACCTACCCTGACGATCTCTTGGTCTCCTTCGGGAAGAACATAATCATTGAGAACCTCTTTCACGACATGCTTTCTCTTTGTAGCCTTGGACATTTCACACAAATCAGTATGTTAACGTGTGTTATGATGAAACCTCAAGCAAAACTGAAAGCACGTTGAAGCAGACTAAAACATTGCTCAACACATGGACAAGGGAAGTAATCCAACAACTTCCTGTCCAAAACGTGTATACCGCTAAACATATTTGTGGGCTTCAAATGAAACAGGTGAAATATAAATACATCAACTCAACTGCGGACATGTTGATGTTTTAAATGCGTAATTTTCATTATGGAAATACGGAATTATCACTGCTATGATATTGTTAATGTCTTACCGTGTCTCACAGATGAACAATACCGTATATGAACAGTCATCATGGCTTGAAAGTTGTCTGTCGGAGAGTTGACATTTCGTCCATTATATGCGATAACGTTCGCATCTGTTAAATTATTTATTTCATTTACCAATTACTCCCATCAAGACCAATGTCAGGCGGAGACGTTCCGTAGACTGGTGTGATTAGGGACCCTTCATAATTTATGGCTAGGGGGTGATGCTGATTTTAAATTTATTTTATGATATTTTTGTTTTGTTTTAGCTTTTGGTTTTTGTTTGTTTGTTTGTTTTGGTTTTTTTTTTGGGTGTGTTTTTTGGTTGGTGGTGGTGGTGGTTCTGGGAGAGGTCTTGGAGTCAGCAATAAAAATTATGGGAAGGGGGGATCATTGATCTTTTTTCATGATGTGCAAGGGGGGTCACTTACTTTGTACGTAAAGTTAAGGGGATAATTCACATTGTACATGCTTCTGCATACATATCTCACACACACACACACACACACACACACACACACACACACACACGTACACACACACACACCTTGCCATACATTATGAACGGTCCCTTACATAGTATGCACATTATAAGTAACATATCACATCATATGTATGTTTAATAAAACAATTTAATAGAAAATGATGTTACTTGTTGTAAGGAATATCGTCGTTTTCACAGACAATAGGCACAGGCAAAGTAATTCATTTGGTGGATTATCAAAATCTCGATTAAAGTTTTAAGGTCACATGCAACCAAAAAAATCAAACATAATTAAAACACAATTATCACTTCTTCATGACATATAATATGCATTGCTGATTATGAAAAAACAAATAAACAAAATTATAAGCGTATAATCGAAAATCAAAAGTGCAATATTTTGTACTTGGGTTTACCTCCCTCGAAACGAAGCAGCCGGGATACCGAACCCAGTCAGGGCGGGTGGGTGTGCACTCAAGTGTAACGGCTGGTTCATTAGCAGATGCCGCCTTCACGGCTCATTGTGTGTGTATATATAGAGATGTTGGGTTTTGTAAATGCATGCTCATTTTTGTGTATACCATTTTGCAATCAACAGACATCATAACATGTCATGTGTTCAAGTATCACACCTGCCTGTCTGTGTAATTACATAATGTGACAGAGACCGAACTCGGGCCATAAATCAATGCGTTTTGTTTATGGTGTATAGCCTGATTGGTGTTAAGTTTAAATTGCATGTGGTCAGTGATCGCAGTTGTGTATTGAATATTGGCATTAGCAGACAGGCAGGCAGACACACAGGTGTCAATAAAACAATACATTGAGTTTTGTCTGTGACAGCGACATATCTATATCACAGTTAGAAATTGTGTCAACGCTAAATAATGACATTGCTTTTAGTTTTAAGTATCGAACTGAGAAAGTGACTCGGTAAGAAGAACGTGTGGTGAAATAGACAAATGAAATTATATAAACAGTTTATTTACTGTCATAACATATAAAAAGCTCGCGCCTGTGAGATATCAACAAAACATTATGAAAATAGCTCACACCAAAGCCTTCACCAAAGTATTCACCAGACAGCCCGCTTCCAAGTTGCGCGAACCTATTTCACTGCGCACCTGCTATGAGCGCAGCCCAGCTGTTGAAACCCGTATTCCCCAGAAAAGTCTGGGGAAAATTAGTGAAACGTTTGAACTCCGATTTCGCGCGTTTTTTTTCATCGCGTTATTTTTCAACTTTATAAGTTGAATTTGCATTTTGACGCTTTGTTTCGGTAAGTCCATACCGAAAGGTATCAGAATCTGCAAAGTTGTGTTTTACGTTGCATGTGACCTTTAATATGGCATGACATTAAAGTATAAGGAGTGAGCTTACTGAGTCACGGAGGTAGGTTTAAAGGCGCTAAGAACAGTGCTCCAGTAATATCAGAGTAGGTAAGCGTACAGATGCAGGTCTTAACACGTGAAAACAAGGGTCATCGGTATGGGGCTGAAACCAAAAACCATAATCAGAGAAAATATCGGGTTTGAACACGCCACCATAGGTTACTTACTCGCCTAAGGGGAGACAACTCTGCGCATCGTATTGCCGAAACACATCTGCTGGATACAGATGTCCTTGTGTACACTTGAAGCACTGTATGTTTGAATTGGCGATAAAGGTATGACAGCCGTTACAGCTTACACATCTCAAGGCGGTGGGGTAGCCTAGTGGTTAAGGCGTTCGCTCGTCACGCCGAAGACCAGGGGTTCGATTCCCCACATGGGTACAAAGCCCATTTCTGTTGATTTACTTACAAATTTAAGTTTGGATTTCGCTTGTGTAATACAACTGGGTTCACTTTGAGTAGCACGCCACCTGAACACCTTGGATCTCGTATCGTTTGAGATACACGAGGACCAACGCGGCCTCAGGTCAGTGACCTGTACTGAAGAATGTAGTGTCACAGACAACAAGGTTGTATCCGCATGTAGACCGCCTCCGTGGTGTAGTGGTTAGAGCGTCCACCCGGAGAGCGGAAGGTCGCGGGTTCGATCCACGGCCGCGTCATACCAAAAGACGTTAAAATATGGTACTTGTTGGTCCCTGCCTGTTGCTCGGCATTAATGGGTACAACAAAGACTGGTCGGTTCGGAGTCAGTATAATGTGTCTGTGTGGGGTATTCATGCTTAACTGCGGCATGGTATCTCATGCAGTGAGCTAGCACTATAAAATCAGCTAAGTTTGGGTTAGTACAGGCAGCCACACATACACACGCATGAACGTCGTCATATGAGCGAAATATTCTTGACAACGCCGTTAAACCCCATTTCCAACTCATCTCACCTGTATCCGCATGGCCTATTTACTTATATGATATTCTTATAGATTAGATATTCTGCAAAAGGTCATGACATTTATACAGTGAACACCTATTAATCAGGACCTTTGCATTCCCTATGAAATTTTATTCGGATTAACGATTCAAGACCCCAGTGGCTCTGAACTCCTACACACAGGGGCGTGTCACGCTTAGAAACAGCGTTAGAAAGACATATATAGGTATATAGACCCTACCCTAGTACTATATAAATAGAACTGGGGTAGGGTCTATATACCTATATGTCAATAGTACTAGGGTAGGGTCTATATACCTACTAGTATATGTCTTTCTAACGCTGTTTCTAAGCGTGACACGCCCCTGTCCTCCTACACAGACCAACGTGGTTGTGACAGCGGAAATTGTCACTGCAGCTGTTACTGATCCATGGTAAGCATGTACTGGACATCCTTCCTGTATTTTAGGCACGTCATGATGTCGCACCATTCTTTGAAATTCTCTGAAAATGTCCCAATTGGTCGTTTTGTAGTTTAGCCTCACGCATCTTACATCTGTGTGCAGAGTTAGCAATGTCATTGAATGATCTCTGCGTGCCGGACATGGATGGATACATCATCACACTTCCGCCGTTGTGTCTGTCGATTTGAGGAAGACAGCCCAGTAATGATAATGGACGTGTCACAGGGCAGTACTACTGTTTAAGGATAACGACAAGGAGCGCCAAGAAACAAATTATACCATACCAGTTTTATAAATAAATAAAAATATCAACACAGATTTATGAAGGCTATGACTTTATCTTTCTGCTAAATTTAATACCTGTCCTCAGTCGTTCGATTTTACTGTTGTTGAATATTTTCGATATCAAAGAAAACTACTCATTCAAAGATTTCATCTCCCTGGATGGAATGCGACGGGACTCGAACTTGTGTTTAAACTCGTTCAGCGGGTGAGAAAAAACGTTTATATAGAAGGTTAGAGTAGCCTATCGTTAGCTGCCGAGAGGTGGCGCGCTTACTATAAATTTACAAACCGGTTATGTCCCTTTCTATGTTATCTTCTACCCGCAAGGTGCGATAATTATACGTTGTTCATACAGGTCCAAAACTTCGAAAGCGAAACTACTTCCCGCCAATAACCCAAGCAAAAGGTAAGATATGATAGTACGACAAGAAACAATGAGCCAGTGCAAGGAACATGTATTTTTCAGAAAGTCCGTTTAAGTTAGTGCTATAGGACACATGATCTCCTCTTTCTTCCAACGATTTGACAAAGTAATATGGTATGATCGCAGGCCCGTCATTTTCGCAGTAGTCCGGAAGCCAGTCAAATTGTATCGTTGTTTTCAACATCACCACCCACTGATGATTTAACAGCCTAACAATTCTCGAGTCCAGTGAATATTTCCTTGTTTTCCTCCACTGTTGCGCATTTCGCTCACCCGAAACGTTTTCAGAAGCTGATCACTCCCTCATACCTGGTAGATGTCTGTGGTTGAAAGTGGGGAAAGCCCACTTTCAACCACAGGAACCCGATATCGCTGTGTATGTTAAACACAGACCATAGATCATAGACATCATATACATCATATATATGTGACGTGCGTGTAGATCTATGGTGTTTAGCGATAACGGGTTACTGTATACATCATATACATCATATATATGTGACGTGCGTGTACTGTAGATCTATGGTCTATGTTTAGCGATAACGGGTTCCTGTGCTTTCAACGCGCCTCGTTCAACGATATCGAAAGTTGAAAACAATGTGCGAAGTATTTAATGGAATACGATATCTATGCATAGTTTGTTAAATCTCCTGGGAATTACAAAATTGGTTCAAAATAATTCAGGCAGGAATTTTTGTGAACTCCCGGGAGTCCTACTCCAGGTTGTCCTGATCAAAGAGCTCTATTTGACTCTATACAGTTTGACGAAGAATACAGGATTGAGGATATATTCACTTTTCTATCTGTTATATTGACTGGGACAGAAATGACCGCTAGCCTATTAGTCCAAGGCAACTTAAAGTGTAGTTATGTTTCACAAAATGTAGTTATTGTTTAGAAGCCACTCTGGTAGTGGTTTGGAACTATTTTGATATCATCTGGAATATGTGCCCTTTCTTGTGTGTCTAACTGGGAAAGAGATAGAACTAAAACAATCTTCATGTTGTTATAAGAAACCATGCAGGTGAACATGTCCAGAGAGGTGATATTTGCTCCGATGATAAGACAAAGTTGTTATTGTAAAATTCAGGGCTCCAGATAATTTTTCAACATCAGGAGTACGTACTCCTTATTTTTTCAATACAGGAGTACTGGAAAACCTTAAGAGTACTGAATGGAAATTAATGGAGTATCAGTAATCTTGAGTTTCGTTTCGTATATGCACCACAACATTGCCACTCTTGTGTAAACAGGTCAATAAACAATAAAACAATACTTTTCAGATAAATACGTCTGTAAATGATTCTAAGACTGTACACCATTGCTGTATCTGCGTATCTGCTACGTTTTCTAAATTATTTCCTATCGTATCATGCTTATTTTTTATCCGTACATACGTCGATACGGCTCTTATCTGGAGACCTGAAATTACAATCCGTTCACCCAACATGTCCAGTAGCACATTAATGTGGACAGCTACAACAAAAACACACATCTACCATATCATCTAACACATACCACAAGCATATCTACAGAAATATCACAGCATTGAAAAAGATTCACTCTTTAGTATTCTAAATTTTAAAAGGGTGTTTTAGATCATATTGAAGAAACACAATGGATCGTCTATATTAAAGTACTGTCGGAAATAGAAAAAAACTTTTTTCACATATATACCTACAATTTAGGTAGTTAATATGTGAAAGTGTGAAATATCTGTTAAACTAAGATCGGCCTAACTACAGTCGCAGTGGGAGGGAGATAGGAAACGTAAAAGAAGGATTTTACTGAGGAGAGATTAGTGCAGAAATGAGCAATGCAGGTTTTTTTCTAAGTCCTCCAATGCGACTTATTCAGAACAGATTATGGCTTTATGCAAATTAGTGTGTGATGATATTGTATGACAAAGGACACTTTTTAAATGATCATTTTGAAATTAGACTTAACTTTATTATTAACGATAGATGTAAAAAATAATAACTTTAATACTGAAACTATTAAGAATGTAGCTACCATGGCGTTTCATTATCACTATAAAAAGAAACAGGTAGGAGGGGTTGTCTCAAAAGCAAAACCAGGAGGTGTGTCGCAGATGGTGGTTGGGGTTGGGCTGGGGTACTGTGATATCAGCTAAGATAATATAATCAATACTAGAGACATATTCAATACACATGAAAAAGCATAAAATATGTTTGAGGTAATCCCTTGTGCCTGTGGGCAGCACGAACATTTCATGCCATGTAAGTCGACTGTCCATCGTCATACCTGGCTAAGTGACCTAATTGCCATCTGTAGTCTGATCTATTGTTTTTAACAGCTATTCATATTTTTTCTACGGTTTGCCCGATTTTACGAGTAAACATGCTTTTCTGGATATCCTATTACGCATCCCACTGAACGCCCAGTTAGGCCGATGTGGGTTATTTCGACATATGCTATTTGCAATCGTGTAAATTTTAAGGATACAGAGTAGCAGCCTACAAACAGTTTTTTTTCTATTTCCGACAGTACTTTGGTATGATTAGCAATGCTTAGAATTTGATATTCCTGTTTTGGGGTGGACTGTTCCTGTAATGTCTGGGACCACTATAATTGATGACAACACACAAGAATGATGCGAAAATACTCTGTTTTTGAGTAGCAGATGAGAACCGCCATGTTTCATGTGTGCATTGACCCAATATAGACTGAGTGATAAGAAGATTAAACTTCATCAAATGCAACACTTGAATTCGTCTACATTGCAGTTCCCAAGATAAAAATTATCCTTACGTTTTCCACTTACAAAAGGGTGTTTTCTGTTGCCCCAGTGATCTGGAAGATGCTGACCCAGGGGTAAATCAAGACTTGCTATATATTGTTATTGATTAGGATGAACGTAAGGCGACGTACCTTATATGTTTCAGGGACTATGTTTGGTTGGTTTGTTGTTTAACTCAGCACTAAGCAACGTTCCAGCTATATGGCGGCAGTCTGTAAATAATTGAGTCTGGACCAGACAGTCCAGTGATCAACAGCATGAGCATCGGTCCACGCAATTGGGATATGATTCCGTTAGTAGCCTCATCCGTTAAGCATGGGTAGCTGAAGGCCAATTCTAACCCAGATCTTCACAGGTCGCACATGGTCTATGAGACAGACTAGCCCCATTGTCAAGGTGCAGGGCGACTGATGCTGAGTGTTGTATCGGAAAATGTTTTACCCTTTAGGGATTCTAGGTTTCCAGCAACCCGAGTTGGTTGTAGAAGTAAGAGGGGACTTCATGGATCAGCTGGTCAGACATGGTTCACTGTGGCATCACACCCCGACAGTGTGGATCATTGCTGACATGGTCAACTGTGGCATCACACCCTGACAGTGTGGATCAGCTGGTCAGACATGGTTCACTGTGGTATCGCACCCCGACAGTGTGGATTAGCTGGTCAGACATGGTTCACTGAGGTATCGCACCCCAACAGTGTGACAGTGTGGATCAGCTGGTCAGACCCGACATGGTTCACTGTGGCATCGCACCCTGACACTGTGGCATCACACCCTGACAGTGGATCAGCTGGTCAGACATGGTTCACTGTGGCATCACACCCTGACAGTGTGGATCAGCTGGTCATACATGGTTCACTGTGGCATCACACCCCGACAGTGTGGATCAGCTGGTCAGACATGGTTCACTGTGGCATCACACCCTGACAGTGTGGATCAGCTGGTCAGACATGGTTCACTGTGGCATCGCACCCCGACAGTGTGGATCAGCTGGTCAGACATGGTTCACTGTGGCATCACACCCTGACAGTGTGGATCAGCTGGTCATACATGGTTCACTGTGGCATCACACCCTGACAGTGTGGATCACAATATCAATCACGGGTTTGTCTGATCCAAGACGTTCTATATACTGGCCAAGAAACAAAGCATCAGCATTACTAGGTACAATAAGAAGATTGATATTTTTTCACAACTAGTTGGTCACTAGCAGGAATTATCACATTAAGGTTATCATTCAGTATTTTAGAAGGAATTATAGTAAAACAAATAATTGTTGTTTTCCAGTAAAAGTCATCTGCTAACGAGTCAGGATGTCGTCTACATCTCAAAAACACCGGAACTTCGTGTCAGAGCCTATGGGAGAAAAGCTTGTGACTGAACTAGCTGGAATAGGACCTGTTCTTGGCGGAAGACTCAGTGAGGCAGGGTTTGATAAGGTGAGATTACGCTATGTCTTACATTTCAGTAGACTGAAGAATGAGATAAAAAATATGTCTGTATCTGTAGAGATAAATATACTCAAAGAGTTACCGTGACACACAAACAACATACATAATCTGCATTAAATGTTTACTGTTGCAATGAGATCTTATGACATGGAAACACAAGTGTTTCAAGTTGGGGTAACATTCAGTTTGTACAGTCAGCTCTCGTTAATCCGACACTCATTAATCCGACAATCACGTTAATCCGACAAAAAATTAGGGAACCATTTAAAACAGTGATAATTACTCTCGTTAATCCCTCATTCTCGCATTCCGACTGCGACACACCAATCTAGCAACTGATTATTGTAAATAAATTGTAAAAACATTCGTTAACCCGACAATCAACACAGCCAGTCGGATAATCCGACCGTATACAAACAATCACACGTGAGTAGTAATTAGCGTGTGCCTTACTGGTTGCTTGACACCGACGTCGGTGAACATCACACTTGTTAATTAGGAACACAGGATAATTAATTGAGACAATTTAATCAAGAAATAACAGACATGAGTTTTCATCACAAGATGTTTGTCACGAGTATTCCACCTGCTAAGCGACCCCTTGTAGAAGTTACGCCATTGATCAAGAAAGAAATCTCCTTTTGAAGAAAGACAAACCCCAGACAACACAACAAGAAGTCATCACTTTTGCTGAGCAGAAGTTTGATGTGAAGTTTGGACGATCAACCGTATCTGACATCCTGAAGCAGTCTGCTTAGTGGTTGAGCGTCTCTACGACTGATTCCAATGCTTCGAGCTATCTGAGGCCAAAACATCGTTGAACACTTTGCAAACATTTCTGACACACCACTTAGACGTGTTTAATGTTAATGACCATCAAAGACTTTTTCAAATTATAAATTATATATGTTATGATAAACGCCTGATTGTACATTAGACGTCCACATATTATTATGGAATTAGTTGTATGGAAACTGTAACATATTCAACATCCGGGTCATAATGGCAGCTGATATG